TGCGGCTCTTTGCAGAAAATGGTCCCCAAGATTTTTTTCCTTGGACTCTGTACCCCTACGCCTGCCTTTCCTTCCCCAGGGGCATCACCGCCCCAGCTTCACCAATCACATGACAGCTTTCTCTCTCTCTCTCTGTCAACCAGAGTGTTTTTCCACCCCCTACAATTGGCCACGGCGTATGGGAGAATCCCTGGCTCTCTGTGGGCTCCTGAGCTGCTGGGGGCCAAGCGTCACCAGCAGAGACGGGTGGTAGGGGAGCAGTGAGAGAAGGGGAGAGAAGGACTCTAGGACCCTGGGGTTGCCACGGGGTGCGCTACTGGGCTGCTACGCCAGGACAGGTACTGCCACTCCATGGGATATGCCATGGCATTACCACGCCGCAACTCAGCCTTCACGCCTCTGGGAGGGAAGGACACTGAAGGGGAGGTTTGGTGGGCGTGGGCACATGTGCACACATATGTATGTACATGACCTGGCTCTGGCAGGGAATGAGTGATCACCCTAGGGGCCCCAGGGTGGAAGGGGGCTCACGTGGGGACGGAGCCAGGAAGGTGTGAACAGGTAGGAGTAGTAGGATCCAATCAGAAATTACATGGCTCTGGGTGGGGTTTGGTCTTGTGGTTCCAATCAAGGGGCTCAGCGTCAGGGGGCGTGGCTCTGGTGCACCAATCAGGGACGAGGAGGCTGGGGGAGGTGAGGAAGCCAATCCAGATAGGGAGGTGAGTTAAGTGGGTGTGAGGAGAGAAGGGGCAGTGTCTTGGTGGGAGGGAGGAGGCTTCCGCAGGCCAATCAGCACGCACGCTGGGGCAGGCACGAATTTGGTGGGGGGAGGTGGGATAATCATGCACCAATCAAGGAACGCACAGTTCTGCGCTCCAATCAGAGAGCGAGGGCGGGATCCCTTGCAGCCAATCAGACATCGCGCCGAGGGGGGGCGGTCTTTAGTGCACCAATGAGATAAAGAACACAGTAAGCCAATCAGCCAGTGGGCTCGTGATCCGGAAGCGGAAGCTGCGAGAGAAGCCTACCTGCGGCACAGCCATGAATATCCTCCCCAAGAAGTCTTGGCACGTGCGAAACAAAGACAATGTGGCCCGGGTGCGGCGGGACGAGGCCCAGGCCGAGGATGAGCGGCAGCAGCGGCAGGCTCGGGCTTTGCTGGCCGAGCAGGAAGTGAGTCACTGCGCAGGCGCGGAGCTCGGGCCCCCCCCCCCGGGGTATGCGGGTTGGTCACGTGACTCAGATGGCTCGTGCCTTAAACCATTTCGGAGGGATGTTAGGAGCAGAAATCTGAGCCAAACCATTTCCCGAGGGGGCGGGGCGCAGAAAATCGCTGGGGACTAAAGTGCGGCGAGGGGGGAGCTGGTTTGAACCACTTCTGAATTGCGTGGAGGATAAAAGAAAAGTGGAATAAACTGTACTAATGGCAGGGGGAGAGGAGAAAGAAGCTAGATTGTACCGCTTCCAGCTGGGGGCAGAGGGCAAGGAAAAGATCCTTCCCCAGGAAATGCCCCCACTGGGGCTGGAGGGGGAGGCCTCTGGGCCACATTCCTTTTTCCAGCAGTGTGGATTTCAGCTCCCCCCTTGGACAAGAACCCCAGGGCCCTGTGGGCTCCACGCTGCCTCCTCTGTGTCTGCAGCTACCCTTGCCCTTGGGTGACATGAATTTGTGGAATCCCAGCCCAGATCCCTGCTGCCTTTATTATGCACAGCAGTAGTACCCCCCAGCTGCCCTGGGGCTGGCCCCCTTCCCCAAGGCCCAGCACTGAACGAGTCCTGCAAGTCCTGGCCCTGAACCCCCATCCTTCCCTTGACAGCCATGTCCCCCCTGCAGGCACGGACCAAGTTCCTGAGGAAGAAGGCACGGCTCTTGGCCCTGCCGGAGCCCAATGGCAGCTCGGAGCTGGCCCTCTGCAGTGAGCAGCCACATCACATCGACCTCTTCCGGGACCTGGAGGATGGCAAGGGCAGCAAGGCAGGGAACAAGGAGTATGAGGAGGAGAAGCTCAAGGAGAAGGTAATGAAAGAAGGTTGGCACATCTGAGGCCCCAGGGGACCTGATTGGACACCTGTGGGGATGGGATGCCCCCACTCATAAGAGCTGCCGTTGACTGGGTTACCCTATAGGTGCATTGTGCCCAGTCCCCTGCATCATGCAGGCAGAGTGCAGATGCTGACGAGTAAACAGGGCATGACTAGGGCTTTTCCCATTGTTCCTCTGTTGCTTGCAGCCTCCCAGCATTTGAGGTCCAGGAAGCTCTGATTCACAGGCTATATTGCTAACTCCCAGGCTCAATAGCTACTGCTGCCCTTTCCCTCCAAGAACTTGTCCAGTTGCTTTTTTAATGTGGCTGTCAGCTTCCACTACATCTGGTGGCAATGGGTTCTCAACTTGAGTTGCACAGTGTGTGAAAAAGAGGTTCCTTTAAACTTACTGCCTGCCACTTTCATTTTGTGACCCCTAGTTCTTGTATCATGAGTGACAGCAAATAATAAATCCATGTCTACTTTCTTTTCACCATTTAGTATTTTGTAAACCCTTCTCATATCCCCCCTCATGCAGCTCTCTTTTTAAGTTGAACAGGCCTAGCTCTTTAGTTCTCCTCATATGGAAGCTCTTCCATACCAGCATACCACTCTGGGGCTCTGATGGGGCAGGGATGTGACTCCACTGTCCATCCCCCTGCCCTGATTACAGCTGTGCGTAGCCATGGCCCCACAGCATTTGCACCCTGGTGTGTCCATCCCCTACCCCTCAAAATCTTAGAGCTGTATCTCCTGAGTACAGGCCTCAGGCCTTGAGGCCAGTGGAGGGAGTATCCACCCCCATAGGCCGCACTTAAAGAGAATACCCCTCCCATGCACAGGAGCGCCAGGAGAAGGCCATCGGGCTGCTGACATATCTGGGACAAAGTTCAGCTGAGGCCCAGACCAACCCACCCTGGTACCAGGAGGCCCCAGACCGCAGCAAGGAGGCAGCTGACATGGTCAGGGATGAGAAGCTGAAGGGGAAGCTGGACCCCCTCCTAGAGATGGAGAAGTACCTGCAGAAGAAGAAAGGGGAACAAAAGAAACACAAGAAAGAAAAGAAGAGGCACAAGGAGAAGGACAGGCGGAAAGAGGAAAGGAAGGGAGTGGGGTGAGTGGGACATGAGCAGGGCTAGATCCTGGTATTCGGTTTACTGGAGCAGGGCTGGGCCTGTGCTGTAGACTTCTACCTACCTATGCCAGCAACTTCAGGCCACAGGGCCTACAGCCCACAGCCTGTCACTCCTTTCTCTTGTCCCTATGAGGGTTGGGAGGCCAAGTGGGAAGTCTTGTACTGCTTTCCCTTCCCCTCTTCATGTCCTGCATACCATTTCTGCTCCCAGCCAGCCCTCACTCCAGCTGTCAGGAGGATGTTAACCCCTTGCTTTTTATCCCAGGACCTCTGGCCCCACTTCCCTGGAGGAGCTGAGGCAGGAGCGGCTGCAGCGAGAGAAGGCAGAGCGAGCCAAGGCAGAAGCCCTGCTGGCTGGGACGTGGGGAGGGTCAGTCGGCTGCAGGGAGGAAGTGGAGATGGATGACAGGAGACGCTGCTACAATTCTCAGTTCAACCCACAGTTGGCCCGGAAACCCTGGGACCGGGAGGAGCAGCGCTGAGCTGGGGTGCAGAATGGGGGCTTTGGCGCTCTAGACATGAAACTGCCTGAATAGGCATTATAGCAGGGCCAGGGCTCCGAGGACAGAGAATGGGAAGGCTCCAGCCCTTCGAACCACAAGGATGTTTCTGTTCCAAGGACACAGGAGGTCCTTTTTGTTACACCTCCCCTTAGCAATGCCCCCCTGGACTGGCAGGTGGGGAGTCCCTCTGGTCCTCCATGGACTTTGAAGCCCCTTCTTAGGTGCATGGAGGATTTGCAGGGGCACTATGTACTGGACACAGGCCTCATGTTTTAGCAGGCAATTGGAAGGAGGGAAGGAAAAACAAACCCCTTGGTGGTGGAGCTGAAGCAAACGAGTTCCAGCTGCCACCTCCAAGCCCTGGCAGTACAGGAGCTGCCAGGGTTGTAGCTACAGACCTGTGCACTAATAAAGGCTGTGTCCAATTTGATTTGTTTTCTGGCTGGCATTGGAGGGAGAACCAGGGACTGGCAAGGGGGTCAGTGAATGGAGACAAGGGTCTCATTTTCACCTAGCAAAGGGGAATGGGGTTTGATGGGCTCTGTTGCTCCCTGCTGATTAATTCTAAATGAAAGGGACATGGCACGTAGTGAGGGAATGAGGGCCAGCTTCTGCTAGATCCTCCTGACCTGGAGCACCAGGTTTCTCAGCTTGCACCCACCCCACCCCCAGCTGTTCCATCATACCAAGAGAGAGGCAATTTCCAGTAGGAGCACCAGGTACTACCTTGTGCCCACAGACCCATGTTGTCACCATGCAGCACCTGGTACCTTGCAGAGATGCATAAGGTGCAGTTTAACAGAGGGAACACAACAGAAGAGGCCCCTGAGGCCAAGGTGCAGGGAGAGAAGCAAGAGCCTGGTCCCTCCCCAGAGAGAAGCCCACAGCACCAGCCCTCCTCAGGCAGGGCAGAGTAGCGGAGGTGTGGGGGGCAGTAGAAGTCCTGAAACTGCTGACACTAACCCTTCTACCCCCTGGGCAAAGCCTGTGACTACAGCCCCAGAGGACCCATGGCAGGGCCCTCAGCCAGGCGGGGCTGCAAGGACAGTCACCTGCCTGGGATGTAGCACCCCACCCCTTCAGGGAACACACCAGGCTGCCATCTAGGCAAGGGAAGGGAAGAGACACTCTGGAACATACTAGTTTGCCACCTATCGTGGGGATACAGTATGCAGCCCCCAATCCAGGAATGTACCTTGTCACCTGCAAGGTGGAGTGGGGGTTGTCAAGGCCTCCTCTCCCAGCATGTACCACCTCTATCACCTGTAGTACGGGATCCCTCTGCATCAGGTATTTTCAGGACCAAAATAAGCTCTGCCCTGGACTAGGCTTGACAGCCCAGCAACTGAGTGCACTCATGGAAGTGGGGTGAAGGTAGAATTCCTATTTCTCTCACAGCTCCAAGACGTAGCAAACAGAGCCCAGGTGTCCTGGCCCTCCTGTCCTGGCCCTCCTGCCCTCCCAGAGCCAGGAGAACCCAGGCGTCCTGACTCAGTTGATAGCACAAAGAACTCAGGCATCCTAGCCCTCCTGCTATAACCCACCAGACCCCCCTTCCCTCCCAGAGCTGGAAGAACCCAGGTATCCTGGCTCCCAGCTGAGGCACTGCAGCAGCCCTTATATCCCCCAGCCCCCGCCCCCCTTACCTTGCTGATGTTCTCCGTGGCGCAGAAAGAAAAGTGGCCGGGTGACTGTTACATTTTTTTTTCCTTTTCCCCCGTTTCTTGCGTGAGAAGACATCATATAAAACTATTTATTCATAAATATTTTCCAAAATGAAAATAGGCTTACGAAAAATATTTTAAACCCCTTCCCTGCCCGGCCCCGCCCAGGCGGATCCGTC